CACCCCCCGAGGATACGTATTTTCTTATACCAAAAACGAACATCATTACTCAGAGCCTCAAAAATGTATCATTGTCTGCATTCATTTTACGCACTGCTTGATGCTGGCAGGTAGGAAGTATGAAAATGTAAGGCAAGGTGAAGGTCCAACTTACCACAGCCTGGCGACATGAGGTCGTCTGGTGCAAAGGCCTAGCCACAACACAGACACAAAGACCAGGCTGCAAGAACAGTGAATGAGTGCACATGAAGCAAAGACCTACTACACACTACAGCCACAACATGAGCACCACGAGAGTGAACACAAAAACTAAAACCGACACTGCCCTAAGCTGACAAAACGCCTTTTTTTTTCATTTTGGAGCAAGAATTATTTATTTGCTAAATCGTCAAAAAAACTGATCGGTTACCCTACTTGCGTGAAAAAATCAACTTGACACTGTGACTAGTTTTTGAATAAATTAAAATTCAATTTTCTGAATCATTCTATTTTTAAATGGTTAGCCTGACAAAAAAATATAAATTTTAAACTCTTTTTTTCGAAACTGCTGTGAAGAATAAAAAAGCATTTCGTCAGCTTACGGCAGATCAGTGAACATGATTTTTCTCTACTACAGCGGAGTCCACTGCTACAACGCGCTACCCTAGAATTACACAAAGTCGGTCGCTTTCAAGGACAAGCGGGCTAACCCAGATTTCGGGGGTTTCCAGAAATCTTGACCTACACCAAAAGTGGGCATTGCCCTACCTATAGGAGAAGTTTGGTTTCACTGGTGTGTATAATATTTGTTTGGTTATAGAGAAAACCCTCCTTAAAAGAAACTGAATAAGGGACCAAAAACTGTACCTTCGATTTTCTCCAAACAGCATTTTTCACGATCGCCCCCTTGTGCTTAAAAGCGACCAGTTCTACCAGCTCGATGCCTAGTTTTGAGAAATTTGATCTAAAAAAGTTTTGAGTTTCACAACATGTTAAGCTTTTTCAACAGCAATTCTTCGAATATCTTGTTAACGATTCTAAATAATGTTAGGATTTTGATCGATAGAGTAGATAGAACATTTGGTTTCAGACCTCCTGGTCTTAGTTACTCAAAACGGCCAAAAATGTCAAAAAGAACTTTGCGATAATTCTATGGTAGCAAAATGTCCCAGGATACGAAAGATATGTTTTAATGTGTGAACTATAGGTCTAGACCAGAGCTTGCCAACCTGGGAGGTATTGCCCACTAGTGGGTGGTTATGTAAATTTGGTGGGCAGGTGGGATTGCCTGTCCATTGACATATAAATGTGTGTTATCTAATGTCCCGCTTATGTAAGTGGGTGGTAGGAAAATTTTAATCTCTTCAGAGTGGAAAAAGTGGGCCGTGGGCAATAAAAAGATTGACAAGAACTGCTTTTAACTCCATGTGACGGCTTCTTCCATCAAAACGGTTGCAGTCAATTTTGATATAACACTTCTCCTGTATGTAGCGCATACGTATGTGTACTTTTCATCCTCTTATAAAATGAGTCGCAGGAGAAAACAACATGATTCCAGCTCAGACATCATCATGTTTATATGTCAGCGTGTGAACATGGCCTGACCTGGGAATGCTATCTGCTACGACTCACGACTTTGGTGCAGTGAGGTGTGGGAGGGAGCAGTATGACTTTGCTCACAGCAGAACAACATCTGGCCAAAATGCAGGCGACAAGATGTGCCACACGAGATAGAGGTGTCAAAAAAACCCTTCTCACCAATATGCCATGGTCAAAGAAATGGCGCTGTGATATATTATATGGTATCTATAGACTAAATTCCAAATCAGCCTGACAATAAATATCACATAATTAGCACAACCCACATTCTAATAAAAATGTGAACATCTCACTAAGAGAAAGCATTGTTTCAGGAAGCAACACCCTTGCACTCCAGACACTTTCATTGATGCTCCATTGCTCTCTTCAAAATGCCCCAGAGGTTCTTTCTACTGATTGTAACATCTCCTCACAAGAGAAAGCAAAAGCTCTCATGGCTTCACTTATTTGCACAAAGTGCGAAAAGAAAGCCACAAGTCCAAACACTGACACATAGAGTAGAGAAACGCAGCACCCAGGAGAGGTGTACAACACCAAAATCTCAGCCTCATTTTAAAAGTAGCACGTTTAAAGCAGACTCCACTGCATTAAGAAAGACAGTATTACATTCCATGACGGGTTGCTTTCACTTCTCACTCAATGAGCCTTACTAAACTTTTACTAAATTCACTGAAAGACATCAGGAGAAGGGGGTGGGGGGTGGGGGAGTTCTTACTAAATCATGAGACCTTTTCAAGATCTAGAGTGCAAGAAGAGACTTTCCTTTTCTTTTTAAAGTACAGAGAGAAAAGTAAATCTTCTCAAATTATCTGAGCAACCTGCCTCTGGATAAGTCTTTGGTAAAAGACTATGCTAAACAACATTTTCAATTTCAGCACAACAAAGGAAATTCTGTGGCACCATGCATAAACCTGAAAGCCTACAACAATCGTTTATAAATTTTTTTAAATCATGTGTATGTCACATGTGTGTATATTCCCGATACTGGACACACAATGATCTAGTTTCCCAAAAGGTAAACAAAAAGTATAAACTGTTATCATGTGGAGTCTGCCTAAAAATCAGAAAAGAAAAAAAAATTATCGAGACACATTTTTAATTCCAGAAAAGAAAGTGCTGAATTCATTAAATGTTTCATTTGAAAACTTTGATGGATATCATGTGAAGATGGAAGAACGAATTAGGGGGGTGG